CGGGTATTGGGTGAATTATGCTCTGTTAAGGACTGTTTCTTTTTGGTTTTATCTCTCTTGAGGGAGATGGGTTGTATACTTTGTTTTATTTGAATTTATTGAATCCTAGGGCACTCCTTTCCTCCTTGTGTGGGTCAAGGAACTATTTTTAAGTTCCGTTAACCACCAAGGGGGTTTTTTGGAGGCCTTTTATTCCTATCAAAAAAAAATGCAACATGTCGTCTTTAATGGGTTATTAGATATTTAGTTAATTCGTGGAATTATGTTTGATTGTTTATGCGCTGTATAATCTTATTTATTCTGTACTGGTTCTATGGTTTTGTCGGAAAGCCGTAGTTATGGAGGCAAATTTGGGGTTTAGGTAAGGGTTTTGTTTTGACTGTAAAGAATCTGTTTGTGGAATGGGTTAAATTGATTTTCTTGTTAAAAACTTGACCTTCTTAGTTCTTTTGGATTGAGTTGAATTGATTTTCCTTGTTAAAATCTTGATTCCATTTCTTTCTCCTGGTTCTATGTCCTTTCTGTTCCAATTTGATCAGATCCAAACGCAATGTTTCATGAATCTATAGTAAAGAATGTGTTAAGGTTGACTTCTGTCGGCTTTGTGCTGGTCCTTTGCTTCCCTACATGAATGTAACCAAGTTAAATTATTTCCTTGTAATATGACAGTATTAACAGGAGTTGTCTCACTTGTCAGGCTCTTAACACCTCCAGGTACTCCCCTTTTTCCTTCCTTGGAGATGGACTCACAAAAGACTGTAATGAGTCAGATTGGCACTCCTAACACTCGTTCGACTGCCTTGAAATCCAGAGTAACTAATTTTTTCCTTAACGCTATAATATGGATTGCACACATTTTGAGAAGTTTGGATTATTCTAGTACATGATACAACAATTTATCTGGAAATTTGAAGTTACTTGATTTCCTTTTTTTTACCTTGTTCTAAATAAAACTTAGCCCTGTCTTAACTCTTAGCCCTGTTCTAAATAAATGAAAGGCGCCTTTTTGTACCTACATCAATAGTTCACAAGGAACCAGCAAGGATAAATGCCTGATATATTGGTAGTTCAGAGCTTAGCATTAATAATGGCAATTGTTTATACGGGAGTGAAGTAGAATATGATGTCGGCTGTGAGAAAGTTGGTCGATCCCCTCCAGTGTTCATGCCAGATGATAGTGCGTTCAACCATGAGATATGTCCATACGTTATTGTTTTAAGTTCTCCAAGATTTTAACATTTGGTGGAGAGAAACTTATTTCCAGGAATAACCGAGTATCAAAATCATTGTTCTACTATGAATGTAAAGCTAATTAGATTTGTTTACTGTTCAGCTTATAAAATTAATTTGTATTATTACGGTTGGATATTATTATTGTTTTAATGTGATAAACCCTTTAATTATATATTTTGATTCTATTATTATTACAATGTTATGTATTATTGTTGTTTTTAATTTGGTGTAGTAATTAAACAATTCTTAGGATTTATAAACTTTTATAATATATTTTTAATCAATTATTAATATTATCTAAAATACATATTTTTATAAAAATATAATTATATATAAAAAATAACCTTTAAAAATAATAAATACTAAACATATCGAATATGTACAGTTTCTTTATTAAAAACAGATTCTGAAAATTGTTTTCAGAAAAATTAACCAAACAGTGTAAAATATTTTATAATGTATTATCCAAACACTGAAAAATGTTTTCTGAAAAATGATTTACATTTCTGTAAAACATTTTCCGGATTTCATTTTCCAAAAAACGTTTTCAATGAAACAAACGGACCCTAAGAAAGAAAATGAATTGCAAAGTGGAGATGCCAGAAGTACAAGAGCTTAGCATAAACTATGAAATAGAAATGTATGTATGTATTATGTTTATGATAATACTACTATATATATAATGCAAGGTTCCCATCATATTTTCTTCCTCAAACCGTTGCTCCACTCTATTGCTCTTAGGGATAGACATGAGACTTGAACACGACGGGTTCTTACCCAATCCGATCGGGTTATGTTTTTACTTTAATTTGGGTTTGGGTTGGATCAGGTTTTTTAAAGGTAATATTCGGTTCGGATCGGATTTTTTAAGGGGATATTCGGGTCGGTCCAGATTCGAGTTTAGGGTGAAAAATACTCGATCCGACCTGACCTGGAAAAAATATAATTTTACTTTATATATTTATGAATAATACAATAATATCCATATATATATATATTTTAAATTAAATCACTGTTTTTATTGAATAAAAATAATAATATTATTATTATCTTCTCTCTCTTCTTTTTTCTTTTTTCTTTTTTCTTTTACGTCATTGATGTGTAAGGTATTCCCTTCAAATTCAATCTAAAGTTTCATTCGTACCTACCCATAAATTAGAATGAGGAAGTAGGTTTACATCCACAACTTTGAGAATTTGGGAAGTTTAAAATATCTCATTCACACCTACCCATAAATACTTTCAAAATAGTTGGTCAAAATCATTTACCAATCATTTACCAAGAATTTGGTATCATATTTTGTGTTGAAAGAAGAAAACAAAATTTTATGATAAAAGATGAATTTTTAAGATTTTAAAAAGGAACGAAATTATAGAAGAATAAATTATTAAAAAAATATTTAAAAAATTAAAATACACAATAATTTTTTTTTAGAAAAAAAAATTGTTTCAATCACCACCCTTCTGTCCATTTATGTTGTACTATTCTTCTTATTTGTTTTTATGTTTTGGCTTACTGAAAATATAAGTTTTTAAATTATATCCTAAGATAATATTAAGTGTCTAAGAAAATTTTCATTAAAAATAGGTGCTTAATATTTTTTTTGTTACAATTTTAAGTGTTTAATATTTTGTTTATACTTTTAGGTGCATATACAGTAACAACCGTTAAAATAATTGTTAAATAACACGTGTCATATTTATATTTTTGACTTAATACAAAAATTAGTGCTCAAATTATACCCTAAGTTAATTTTAAGTGCTCAAATTTTGTTTGCTAAGAATAAATGTCTAACGTTTCTTACGTTATACTTTTAGGTATATAGGTTATAACGACAGTTAGACGCATATTTTTAACGAATTTTTTTTTATGGAAAATAAATAATAGCTGTCTTACTATCTTTGGAAATCATGGTACAAAATATAAAGTTAGAGATAAAGTTTAGACACTTACTTTATATTAAGCCTAATTTTTTCACCCAACAAAAAAAACGGTTACTTTTCGTTGAGAATCATTCACTGCAAGCTTGAAAAAATAAATAATAGCTGTCTTACTATCTTTGGAAATCATGGTACAAAATATAATTAATTAGGCCCTCAAAGTTTTTAGAATCTTTTATGGAGTCTTAAAAGTTTTAAATATTTTAGACCCTCCCAAAGTTGTTAAAAATACTCATTAAACCTCCTAAAATTTAAAAAAATGTAATTAGACTCTCGTATTTTTAAATTATCATTAAGACCCTTAATTGTTTTGAGGAATTTAAGAGATAATTGCATCCATTGTCCAAAACTATGACCAATATCTTAACTTAGTCCCTAAACTTTAAAACATTCTATATTGACATTTCCAAATTCTGATCTTATATTAAAACTAAATACAAAATTTATAGATGTTCAAAAAATACATATAATTTGAGAGATGATCTGGAATGTCCGATATATTTTAATAATTAAAAAGAAAAAAGAAACGAGAAAGTGTAGCAATTACGATGCCAGAACCCTCTCCTTCACTCTTGAGAATCAATGATTACCAGGCAAACTCATTATCAAATCTAAATGCTTATGATAATCCCTTTTACCACCTCATAGGAATCACATATTTATGAATAAATCACGTCTTTAATCACCAAATTACTATCTCTTTTATATTTTCTTCATAAACTTCCTAACTATTATACTTTAATTTTAAATAAAGTGAAAGGTTTTATGTTATATTTATGGAGATTGGAGTATTTTTTAATGAAATGAACATAGGATTCACATGCAGTTAAAGAAAAAAAAGAGTGAATTAGAAATTTTGGTTGGTGATGACGATTGATGGTAGCATACAATGATCGAAAATAATGGTGAGCGGCAATTGAAGACGGGAGACTTTGATTGAATTCATGGGATTAAATTGATAGTTTATCTAAAATTTAAGCAACTTTGTATTTTTTATAAATTTTAGGGTCAAACTAAAAGTTATCCTTTTATTAATATGTCAGTCATCAAATAAATAATATTAACGTCCAAGTGATTAAAATATTATAATTTAATAACGTAAATGGTTAAAAGATTATAAACAAATAGCTGAAGTGACCAAAATGTTTTTTTTCGAATTAGGTGAGCAAAAATGAACAATTATAAAATAAGAGTGACAATTTCAATAGTTCACCCATAAATAAAATATTTAAAGAAACAAAATCGGAGATAGTGGGACAATGAAATATGTCGGAAAAAAAAGAAACCAAAAACAAATACTACTAGACAACCCATCAATCAAAAAAAAAAATGAATGAAAAATATTTTTTAGTTGTCTTTGCAGTTTTAGTTTTATTAATCTGATTTATATCATATATTTGATTTTGATATATAGATTTTTTAACGAAAATTTTATATATGTATAAAATCTCAAATTTAAGATATATTTAAATAATATTAAACTAATTATCAATTAATACCGTAAGGACGGATGAATATTATTAATCTGTTACTTTATGAGGATCTCTTACAAATTTACGTGGCGCCCACCATTCATTGATTTTGGTCTCTTCGGGTCCCACCATTCCGTACTTCGATCCGTAGTTTGATCCGGGATCTCTCTTCTAGTCTTCTCTGGTTAAGAGATGCCGTTTCTCACTTCTCCACCCGCCCAATATTCTTAGCTTTATTTCTACTGTTCTATCACCGTCGCTTTAATTGAAACAAAGCTTAAACTTTTAAAAAAATCCATAAAAAAAGATCTCTCCAGATCTCAGATTCATATATCTATGAACATTTCGTGAAAAGAAATTTCTGGGTTTTCAATGGCTGCCAAGCTTGGTTCTTTCAGGCACTCCCTGCTGGAGAAAAGGGGGAGAACAATGGGGTATTCGGTGCTTGGATTGTACGAAGGTGGAGATGAACTGGAACAAGAACAAGGACGGAGATGGTTTTCTTACAGGTACTTAAGCGACAAGCTAACTGGGTTTTCGGAGTTGGTTCGACAGGTTATGGGCAAGGCATGGCAGATGGGGATGTCGGATCCCAGGAAGATTATTTTCTCTGCGAAGATGGGTCTTGCCTTGATGCTTATTTCATTGCTTATTTTCTTGAAAGAACCCATCAAGGAACTCAGTGACCACTCTGTTTGGGCTATTCTCACTGTCGTCGTCGTCTTTGAGTTCAGCATAGGTTAGCAATTTTAAAAAGTATTCATATTTCAGTTTATCTACCATTTATTTATTGTCGCTTACTGGAATTAATATCATGACAAAATTAAGAAAAATGGTGTATTTAGTATTTATTTTAGGCTGCCGATGTACTATTTGTTCTTTTGCTTTCAAGACAAAAAAAGAGGGTTAGTTTGGTTCTTAGCAGTGTTGATCTTGTTTGATTTTGTCATCTTCAATGTTGTTCTCACATGTGTTCTTATGGAAGGTTACATGGGTAATTCATGTGTTCTTGAATTTTTCTACCTCTAAAATGTTAGTTTTATTTGGTTCCATTCTATGTTCATGAATAGTTTCTTTCCCCCAATGCCGTAATCGAATAGATCGTCTTATTTACTCTATCGGGCTTGTAATCATGTATGTTTGAGCAGCCAATCTTCATTTTGGTTATTAGGCATTTTACTTTCTTCTTGGTAAGTTAGTTCTTTCTTCCTTTTCAGGTTTAAGTTTTCAATCGGTAAAACCGATGGAAAAGCTTTTTGCTTGTTAAGGAAGGGGTTCCGATTTTAAAAGCACTTTACGTTTATCTTTGTTAGCATAAATGAAAGTGGTGTTTTGTTTTCTTAGCAACTTTAATGCCCACCTTTTATTTCTGCAGGAGCAACTCTTAGCAAAGGATTTAACCGTGGGCTGGGTACATTAACGGCCGGAGGGCTTGCTCTCGCTATGGCAGAGTTGTCGCAGTTGGCTGGAAAATGGGAAGAAGTTGCTATTGTTATTAGCATCTTTATAATAGGTTCATTTCTTGGTCATGAATCATGATAATGTATTATGCTATTAGTTATTAGTTTATTTACGACTTTCTGTTAGGTTTACTCTGACATGCCATACGTTGCCAGGGTTCTTTTCAACTTATGCAAAACTATACCCGACGCTGAAGGCTTATGAGTACGGGTTCCGAGTGTTCACGTTGACATATTGTTACATAACAGTATCTGGGTATAATACAGGGGAATTTGTCCATACAGCTGTTACTCGATTTTTGCTGATAGCACTCGGTGCCTGTGTTTGTTTAGTCGTTAACATATGCATTTACCCCATCTGGGCTGGTGAGGACCTGCACAATTCGGTAGCTAAAAATTTCATGAGTGTGGCAAGTTCTTTAGAAGGTTAGTATGCATCTGTAGTTTACTTATTTATCTCTTGGAATTTCGAAACTAATCGATCATTCTCACGCTTGTTTTCTTTCACTTTTGATCAGAATGTGTTAAAGGGTACCTTAATTGCGTTGAATATAAAAGGGTCCCTTCCAAAATTCTAACTTATCAAGCGTCAGATGACCCGGTTTACAGTGGCTACAGATCAGCTGTAGAATCTAAAAGTCAGGAGGAAGCACTGGTAATTTTTATTGTACTTGCATCTTCCACTTGTTACTTAAAATGATGGTATTCTCGTATTTATTACGTTTTTCACTTCCTTTTCCGTTCTGGTGTAAAGTTGGGCTTCGCCATATGGGAGCCACCGCATGGTCCTTATAGGTCACTTCGTTACCCATGGAAGAATTATGCCACATTAAGTGGAGCCCTGAGGCACTGTGCATTCATGGTTATGGCTTTACATGGCTGTATACTTTCAGAAATACAGGTACGTATTCTCACCTCTCTAGAATGCATGCAATTGATGACCAATTCCACGCTCTTCATGCATTGCTTGTTCTACAGAAGTGCGGCAGTATCCCGAGGATTGGCTTCTCCTTTTTCATTTAGCAGTATGTGCATTGCTATGTTGCTCTCTTCATTTTTCTTGAAGTATCCATTGGCATCCACGTGTGCATAATATATATATAGGAATCTTGATTGATCATCAGAATTTACTAGTTGATGAACATCCATTATAGTTCTTCACCTCATTGAAATGTGCTTATCATTGTAACTGCCACCTTTTTTCCCTAAAAACAGAGATGGCTTCACGTGTTTCGAATTATAATATTTGTATGTATAGGCTCCACCAGAACGGAGACAAGTCTTTCGTCAAGAACTTCAGAGGGTTGGTGCAGAAGGTGCTAGAGTGTTGCGTGAGCTTGGGAACAAAGTAAAAAAGATGGAGAAATTAGGTCATGCTGACATACTATTTGAATTACATGAGGCTGCAGAAGAGTTGCAAAATAAAGTTGACCGGAAATCCTACCTTCTTGTCAATGCCGAGAGTTGGGAGATCGGAAATCGATCACAGGTTCTGTCGGAGCCTCAAGATTTTCTGAGCTTGGATAGTGATGAACATAAAGTCCTGGGTTATAAGTCCCATAGTGAGGCAGTACTTGATCTCCGATCGGTTACTATGCCAAATAGTTTGGGTAACCTCAAGACTATTGTCAGTGTCAACCCCATTGTCTCCCCCGGTGCACCCTCCGAAGGTTTACTTAAGAAACAGATTTCATGGTCAGCACACCCTTCATTTATTCCTGAAACGAATCAAGTTTTGGAAGAGTCAAAAACATACGAGAATGCAAGTGCATTGTCATTGGCAACATTTAGTTCACTTTTGATTGAATTCGTTGCGAGAATGCAAAACGTAGTTGATGCATTCGAAGAGCTGAGCGAGATCGCAAACTTTAAGGAACCCGAGGAGTTACCAGCAGCAGCAAGAGTGTCCGTTGGCCTTTGTTCCAAATTGTTTAAATGTCTGAAGTTTTAGAATTTGCATACGACATCATAGTTCTGGATTTTAACAAGTCTCTTCCCTAGATGATGTTCTATAACTCGATGAGAACAGATCCGACAGAACGGGAAGTGAAAACTGCTGATCTTAACCGAACTCAACTTGAACCGACGGTGTACAAGGTTGTAGGGCAAACATTCTGACCTCTAATATTAATGGCTTTAGTCTTGACTTTTATGGTTTTTTATCCTTCGATTCGTCCCATCCGAACTAGAAAGTTAAAGACCGGATTCAAGTATGTTATTCGATCTTTGTTGTTTGAGAAGTACATGTAACTGCTAGGGATGCTTATCTATGCTTATCGAGCGAGTCAAAGTTTAACCGAGTAGAATTTTAACAACTCACGAGATGCTCAACTCATATTCACTAGGAGTAACTACCATTCTCTTATGCTTACGTACCGTTTCACCCTTACATCTGTTTTACGATATATTTTGTATGGTAAACTAGGTTTTGTATTTTACTTGAGTATGACTTAAATTTTGGGTCACTCGTTACTAAATAGTTAGCATAATTATGACATATGTTATAATTGGCATACTAGCACATTTAGCTCTCATATTTAATCATTTCATCAGTGAAATATAAATTTAAATAAATCAATAAATATAAAAATTAAATCGTTAAAGTCGATGGCATCTTTATACTTTATTTTGATAAAATATATTTTTTATCAAACATATTAGTAAAATTTAAAATACTAGTACAATCTAGCCATTCAATTTAGAAAATGTTACAAACATATCATTGAATATTAAGTATTAGACAGAATAATTACATGGTTAGGTAAAATAATGTTTTTAGTCCTCAAAATTTATATATTTTATCAACTTGATCTTAATTTAAAATAATTTAATTATTTATATTTTGAAAACTATATAACATTAATTATGGGTGGACACTAATTGCTAATAAACATGTATATTTGTGGTCTACTTGCTCAATGCAAACGGATGCGTATATTAATAATTATATTTAATTATCAATACTGTGAAAGAATTCTGATTTTTTCACCTTTGAGATTTTAGTGGCTTAATATCTCATTTACATTTTGTCGCAACCGTCTTTCGGTTGGGCCCCGGAATTGGGCTTCGACTTAGGAAAAATGTGGATTGGGAGTCGCCACCGACCACTTTAAAACGAATTTAGGTGGGTCGGACACCATCTTACCTGATCTGCGTTATACCAGAAACGTGTCGGGTTCGGGAGTCAATTACGGTCAAGGAAGGATTAGCACCCTTGAACCGCCCTTTCGGTACCAATTAATTTATCGGTTGCCTTTAATTGCGAAAATAATAATTTAAATTAAAATTTAAATTACCCAATTTGAATTACTTACCTTTGATCGATTGAGATTATTACTGAAAATGTGTCAAAAACGTTAGATAAAAAAACGTCTATAGAGTAAAAAGTAAAAATAAAAATGAATCAAATGAAAGGAAAAAAAATATTTAATAAATTAAGAATAAAACATAAAATAAAGGAAAATGCCCAAAATAAAATAAATGTAACATGCAAGGTAAAAAACAACTAAGTTTGGAATTATAATAAAGGGATAAAAGAAACCAAATAAATAATAAAAAACGAAATAAAAGGAAGGAAACCAAAATAATTGAGGGACTAAAGGGAGAGTTTGGCCAAAGTTCTAAACCATGTGGGTTTGTTTACTTTTCACGCAACAAGAGCCAAAGGTGTTTCAATTCATTTGCCATGTTTTGAGCATACATGGCCCACCATGGATTTTCCTTTTGCCATTCTCTACAGATCCACGCATCTCATCCGGTCCATGTCCCCTCTACCTTCTTTTCCTTCACGCAAGCAGTGACCAACATGGTTGATCCTCCGACGAGTTGAAGCAAGCCACGCCTCGACCATCCTATATGGGTGGCCATCCGACTCCGACCACAACCCACAAGGTGTGGGAACACCACGGGCAGCAAGGTACTTTCTAACCCCTCTTTTCTGAAGTTTGTTTGAAAAATAAAATCAAAGAAAAGAGAAAAATTGCAGATTTTTTATTCGTAAAAAAGGTGCTTATATTTCGTATGTATTTCCACCGTATTTTCGTGTACAAAAATCGTGTAAAAATCCCCCTACATAGTGTGGATTACATGTTATTTATAGTCGAATAAAAACCCTATTTTAACATTCCTATTCCAACTAGAATCCTAATACTTGTTGGTTGTCTTGGTTGTTAACGTGGGCGAGGAATCCGACGTCAAACACGGCAGTGGCGAAGAGTCCTCGGTTGGGACGGGTCTCCCCTATTGCGGCGCTGGAGGCGGGCTTGGGAAGGAGCGGCACTGAGAACACTAGGGTTCTGGAAACTGGGCATGTAACTTGGGCTGCTGCATTGGGCTCGTATTTCAGGCTTCTGCTGGGCCTGTAAAAAAAAGAAGAAAATGTGTAAATAATATATATATATATATATATATATATATATAATCACATAATTAGGATGAAATATGGTGTCTACAGCTGCCCCTCTTTGCTCATTATCGTGTAACGAAAATAGAGCAAAGATTACAAGACACAAATTTCGTCCACATCAAATATCCTCTGTTGTAGAGTTGAAATCCGATGTCATGATTGATTTGTCATAACCCATTTGGATTGAATCACAAAATGACTCCCTCGTCGTGAGTTTGAGCTGAAATTGGATATCCTTCATCGTGAAATTGAAATCTAATGTAAGTTGCGTTGTTTTGAGGCCAACATCCTTCGTCATGAAGTTGAAATTGACTCTGAAACTGGAAAGTTTGTTGACAGACACTCCTTCTTTGAGTTGAATATCATTCGCCGTGAAGTTAAAATCCAACCTAAAGATGGATGCTGCTTGTGTGCATGATTCCCTTCGTCGTGAAGTTGAAACCGCGGGTGGCACATTCGTCGTGAAGTTGAGCCTGGTAATTGGATATCCTTCATCGTGAAGTTGAAATCCAAGTAGGTAGTATTATTCCAAGTCAAATATCCTCCGTCGTGAAGTTGAAATTGGCTCTGGAACTGGGAAATTGTTTGTTGACAGCCAGTCGCCCTTTCGCTGTGAAGTTGAGCTTGTGTCTCGAGTTCAATATCCTTCGCTGTGAAGTTGAAATTGACTCTGAATGAAACTGAAAAGTTGTTTGTTGACAATCAGCGGTCCCTTCGTCGTGAAGTTGAACTTGCGTTGTCTGGAGTCCAATATCCTTCGTTGTGAAGTTGAAATTGACTCTGAAATTGGGAAGTTATTTATTGACAACCAGCGGTCCCTTCGTCGTGAAGTTGAACTTGCGTTGTCTGGAGTCCAATATCCTTCGTTGTGAAGTTGAAATTGGCTCTGAAATTAGGAAATTGTTTATTGACAACCAGCGGTCCCTTCGTCGTGAAGTTGAACTTGCGTTGTCTGGAGTCCAATATCCTTCGTTGTGAAATTGAAATTGGCTCTGAAATTGGGAAGTTGTTTATTGACAACCAGCGGTCCCTTCGTCGTGAAGTTGAACTTGTGCTGTCTTAAACTGGGAAATTTTGTTGACAACCAGCGGCCCCTTCGTTGTGAAGTTGAACTTGTGTTGTCTGATACTGGGAAATTGTTGTTAACAACCAGCGGCCCCTTCGTTGTGAAGTTGAACTTGTGTTGTCTTGAGTTCCAATATCCTTCGCTGTGAAGTTGAAATTGGATTGGGAAATTGTTTGTTGACAGTCAGCGGCCCCTTCGTTGTGAAGTTGAACTTGAGCTGTCTCGAGTGGCACGATATCCTCCGTCGTGGAGTTGAAATCGCGGATGGCCCCTTCGTCGTGAAGTTGAGCCTTGACTTGAATATCCTTCGTCGTGAAGTTGAAATCCAAGTATTGTATGTTGCGGGTGGACACGATTCCCTTCGTCGTGAAGTTGAAACCATGGAGACCCCTTTGTTGTGAAGTTTGGCTTCGAGTTAGATATCCTCCGTCGTGAAGTTGAAATCTACTCTCGAGCACATTGTGTTGTTTCGAGCGAAACTGCCTCATGGGATACAAAATTTGTTTCGAGTAAAACAGTCTTAAGTGAGACAAAGTCTGTTTTAAAAAAGCAATCTCAAGTGAGATAATCATCTGCATTAAATGAGACTGTCTCAAGCGAGACAGAATTTATATTGGAAATGTCGAATCTGAAAATGAATGCCGATCTTTCTATCTGTCGAGTTGGTTGAAGTGTAGCTTCTTGCTGCTGAGCTAAGCAACCGACATCAATCTGTAAAGGTGCTTTTGAATCGAGTATCCTTCGTCTTGAAGTCGAACTTGACTCTAAAGCTGTAAAAAAATTATGTACGTGGAAAGAAAATGATAGATATGACGCTCTAAAATATATGCATAAGATGCATGTAACATGAATTGGTTATATTTTATCTCCTGAAAAAGGTCCGATAATTCGCATTAGGATGTTGAATCCCCAAAGATGCCTCAATATCCAAAAACGCCCCAATATTTGATGTTGAATCTTCAAAGATACCCCAAATGTTCCTCATTTCTTGCTTCATCATTGATTCTAAGCATGAGCTTTGTGTTTGAGAGTCACATGTCATTTACCAAGATCCAATCTAGAGAGACTGTCTTGTTTGAAAAAAAAATGTTTTTCTTTCTCTTTTATTTTCAAAGTCATGAAAATATCAATTAAAAGAGTTTCAAAAAATGTTTAATCTCAAGTTTTAAAAATATTGCCCCTATCACGGTTTTGCAATTGAGACGAATCATAAAACTAGAGTTCATCGGATATCAAAGAATTAATTACAATGTTAATCCTTCAATAAATTATAGATATTTGACAACTGCCAAGATCCAAGCTATCTTTAGGAGATAGTCAAGTAAGGAAAGGATAAAAAGTCTTAGGTTATTGTGTTTGGTCAAAGGTTTGGCATTTGATGCTCAAAGGTTTGACATTGGATGCTCAAAAGATTGATGGGGTAGCTTGCATGCTCCTCTGCTGGAAGTGTTCCCTGACTCCCAACCTTTGTTGTCACACTCGGATTGTGCGATGCCTTATCAAGGAATTTACTTGATCGCCTCAGTTGCACAATTTTTATATTCGAGCCGCCTTTTCAGGTTTTCAACTCGAACCCTCATTTGGTTTCAAGACGTTATTCAGGATTTACGTCTTGAACCCCCCTTTGTTATTTTTTCTACCATGCATTAATTACATTGTTTTTTTGTAAACAAAGATTAATCCTGAT